TTTTTTTTTTTAAAGATTTTATTTTTTTCCTTTTTCTCCCCAAAACCCCCCGGTACATAGTTGTGTATTCTTCGTTGTGGGTTCTTCTAGTTGTGGCATGTGGGACGCTGCCTCAGCGTGGTCTGACGAGCAGTGCCATGTCCGCGCCCAGGATTTGAACCAACGAAACACTGGGCCGCCTGCAGCGGAGCGCGCGAACTTAACCACTCGGCCACGGGGCCAGCCCCCCATGTTTAACTTTTTGAGAAAATCATAGACTGTTTTCCAAAGCAACTGCATCATTTGACATTTCTACCAGCAATGTGTTAGGGTTCCAATTTCTCAACATTCTTGCCAACACTTGGTATTATTTATCTTTTTGACAAATGATATGAAGTGTGAAGTGGTATCTTATTGTGGTTTTGATTTGCTTTTCCCTGATAACTAATGATGTTGAGCATCTTTTCACGTGCTTATTGGCCATTACATATCTTCTTTGGAGAAATGTCCACTCAAATCCTTTGACGCTTTTAAAATTTTATTTGTCTTTTTATTGTTGAGTTGTAAGAGTTCTTTATATCTTCTGGATTCTAGTCCCTTATCTGATATGTGATTTGCAAATGTTTTCTCCAAATTGTGTGAGTTGTCTTTTCATTTTGTAGTTTTATGTCTTACATTTAGGTCCATGATCCATTTTGAGTTAATTTTTTTATATGGGGTGAAGAAGAGATCCATCTTCACTCTTTTGCATAGAGGTATCCAATTGCCCCAGCCCTCTTTGTTGAAAAGACTATTCTTTCTCCATTGAATTTTCTTGGCAACAGTAAGTCCATAAAATTTTAAGGAATTTGTATCAAAATGAAGAGGCCTCTGAGCCACCAAATTTCAATAGGCAGGAGGCAAGAGGAGACTATTCAGTTGCAAACATGGACTATTTCTTATGGAAAAGAAAGACTATAGGAAGTCAGAACCAAGAGCCCACAGAGCAGATCCAAGCATAATGGAGGAGGGTACCACTCCAAGGTAGCAGAAATGAACCCTGATTCACATTTCCTGCTCCAGAAATGGATAGCTGGTGACATGTGCCCAACTGGATTTCAGAATTACTGTGGACTAATGACTCATCCTTTAATGAAAGGAAGTATCTATTGCAGTTATCTTGTCCCTGCCTCACCATCGTATGTTGGATCTATAGATGGCAGTTAAGTTAGATTTTTTAGGTCACATATTCTAGATTTTAAAATGTCACACCCTAAGTGTCTCAACCATATCTGAATCAGATGAAGATCACGAAATAATGGACTTTAGCCCATATTGGGAAGAAATGAGCACATTCTGCATGTAGAAGGAATGAAAATTACTGTGGCCGGATAGTGGCATGTAGTAGGTTAAATATGGCCTCCAAGGTTTGAGCTCTTCCTGTGAAGAGATAGAGTCTATTTCCTTAGTGCTTGCATCTGGACTGGCAATGTGGCTGCTTTGACCAGTAGAATATGGTATAAATGACATGGTGTGAGATACAGCCTAGGCCTCAAGGACCTTGCAGCTTCTGGTTTGCTTTTGTAGCACTGTGCCCTGAATGGAAGGGAGCCACATAAGGGAACTGGGCTAGCCTACCAGACGACGAGAGGCCATAAGGAAGAGAACTGAGGTGCCCCGTCTAACGCCAGCTGCAAGGCAGTGAGTGAGGCATCTTGGCCTTTCCGGTCCAACAGAAAGCTCCAGCTAAACACAGCCACATGAATGAGCCCCGGCAAAACCAGCAAGGAACTGCCCAGCCAACCCACAGAACAGTGAGAAATAGCACATGGCTTGTTCTAAGCCACTAGGTTGTGAGGTGGTTTGTTTTGCATGAACATTAAGTTCCATTCACATCAAAGAATTCATTGAGAGGGCAAGAGCAAGAAGGAAAGTTGCAAAAAACTTCATTTATTAACGCCTCAGTTTGAAGGCCCTACTTGAAGAAAAACAGAAATAGCTTCCTTTTGGACTGGCTTTGCCTCTCTCGTGAGACCCAGAAAACTTGCAAAGGAAGCAGTTGCTTCACCCCTTGTGCAGGTGAGAATTACAAAACAGAGAAACTGCAATTAGTGAGGCGTTAGTGAGGGTCTTTCCTGGACATTGTCTTTGAGCTCTTGGGAGGAAGTAGGCCTTATTCATCCAAAGAATTACAGTTGAAAGTTACTGAAAATACAACCGGCTTTGTTTCTTGAGAAGAACACTTGAGAAGAACAGAGTTTTCTTTCAACATTCCCAGACCCTGGTCCAAGCCAAGGCAGAATCGCAGCCCTCCGGCCCAGCGCGAGAGCCAGACGGGCTCCTCCTCTGAGACTGGAGTAGAGGCCGTGTCCACGGAGTGCCTTTTCCTCAGTGGGTGGGCTGATTGTGTATCAGTTCGCACTCCTGTCTCTTGTTCCTATTGGGCATTCTTATTTTTCTCCATCCTCCACCTCTGTCCTCCTCGTCTTGCTGGGACACTGTCTGAGCAGTGTTCTCAGTATCAAGTCTTATACTCTTCCAAGAAAAGGCTTTATGTCCAAGGAAAAAGATGAATAGAGGATAAAAGGCCAAGATAGAGGTCCAGCAGCCAAGAGGAGAGGTGCGGGGAGGCAGCATTTCCAGGCAAGCAATTAGTTGGCTTTAAGTGGCAGCAAAAGGTCAAGCAGAGCTGGCTGTGGTGCCTAAGGTTGTGTAAGTGCTCAGAGTCTAGAGACCAGATGATGGCATTGAGGGAAGCTGAGCAGATCCACAGGATGAGCCCAGTACATTAATATAACCTACATGCCCTCAGGACTTTTAACTGATATCCCCTAACTGTAAGATAAAGAAGTAATGATAATGAAATAGTATGCATTTCAATATGGAGATGCTGGGATACAACACACTAAAAGACAAAAGAAGTAGTCAAATATTTGACTTTGACCTCTATTCAGCATGAATGAGGCACATATAAAAGTAGTCAGGTGTTTTCTGTTGGTGACTCAAGTACCATATACACACTTGCTACCAGTGACTTGTTTTTATAAAATATGTTATAAAATGCCCTGAGCAAAACAAAAACACAATCTTTCTTCCATATACATGGTAGTCACCTAGAAAATTGAGAATACATTGAATCAGTCAAAAAAATATTTACATATGTAAAATATAGCCAGGGTCTAGGCTCAAGATAATTACAAATCTTTTTCACCTACATCAATAACTCAGAGGACACAAAAATTGTGTGGGCAATGGTTCCATCGGATGTGGGGACTGTCATCACATTGCAGGAAGTCTATCAGCTCTGGCTCTTGTGCAGTAAATACCGATAGCACCCCTCCCACCATCATTGTGACAAGCAAACAACACTAGCACAGATTGCCAAAATGCCCTGCCAGTGCCACTCTTCTTGAGAACCACTTTTTAAAAAACAAATGGAATACATATATGTATCAATATCTATATCTGCATCTTGCATAACTTGCATTTAGAAATTTTGTCCATATTAGCACTTATAAATGAACATTCTTTGTAACAGTTTTAGAATATTCTAATGCATCAGTGTGCCAGGATTCATTTAGCTTTTGATGGTCACATTGATATTTTCAGCTTCTTGTTACAAACAATACTGCAAAGGTGATCCTTACACACCAGTCTTTGTGCACTTGCACAATTATATCTCTAGGATATAATTCTAGGATACAATTGACCTATGAGTTAAAAGGTACATGCATTTTTAAATGTTTTTTTATTTTTTATTTTTATCTATCTATCTATCTATTTTGCTGAGGAAGACTCACCTTGAGCTGACATCTGTGCCAATCTTCCTCTATTTTATACGTGGGTCACTGCCACAGCATGGCTTGTCAAGCGGTGCCATGTCTGCACCCGGGATCAGAACCAGTGAACCCCGGGCTGCTGAAGCAGAATGTGTGCACTTAACCACTGTGCCACCAGGCCGGCCCCCGATGTACATTCATTTTTATATGAATATACTATGTTGCTATATTACTAGCAAATCATATACCCTAAGATACTAAAGTAGTATTGCTAAAATTATAAATAAACTTTGGGCATAATATGCTTGCTGACCTCTAAAGCCTTTTCCAAACTGAGATTCTACAGTTCTAAATGTAATCTCAATACTACTAAATTTTCAAGTAGTAAGAAAGACTTCTCAACCCTGGCCTGTTACATTTTTTACACGCAATTTAAAGAGAAACCAGGTTCTAGTACTACAGAGAATCAGAGTATTCGAAGCTTGGGGTGCAAGTCTAATCCCATGAAAACTTGGTTAAAAATGAGATCCCTAAGCCCCAGGTGAAGACCCATCCTGAAACTATACACAGAAAAAATGCAAAAAAAAAATTGCTAGTGGCATCCACTTTACCCATTAGCACCTTCCGAGGCCAATCTTGGAGGGAGAGAATAGCAGGATGTGTCTGCACACTCCCACAGCCCTCTGCAGCTAACATGAAACCACCAACCAGTCCACCTTATTTGGAGGTGAATATTTATTTAATTCATATATAAATTTTACATGATATCCATGGTGCTATAAACATAGGCACATTTTTTTTTTTAACTCAAGGTACATTCAAAAATTACTCTCTCACCCCAGCCTGCTCCAAGCCCTTCAAGATAGACTATATCTAATATTTGTAAAACAACGGCCCAAAAGGCCATGATCATTAATTTTAGGAGAATCCTTCTGACCGTTAAGACCATTCCTTCTGACTTCAGCCAAGCAGGGTCAACAAGCTTTTGGACAAAGGAGCATATGTTTTTTAGCATTTTAATTCCATCAATTGATAGAATTAATTAAATGCCTCTGCCTTGGCATTTTTTAATAGGTTTATGGTTTCGTTTCTCCTACTTAGTTCAGGTCAGAAAAAACTTGATATCTATATTCCTATTGGCTTTCTTCAAATCCCTATGGGATGGTTTAAAGATAGGTCACCACACCAAAGGGTTCAGCTAACCACATCTACTAACAAATGGGCAGCTTCCCACTAAGTACAAATTAAAACATTATTCATTTGTATTGGTTTGCCCCTAAAGGCACAAACATTGTGAATTTAATAATTCATCCATTCAAATAAGAAGTCAATCGAACACAGAGTGAATTAGACCAAAACAAATTCCCTAAAATGACTGAGTTGATTCATTGGCTGTACCCAGGCATGATCCAGACCTATGAGTTTTGTCATTCACAACATTCATAACACACATCAAGACAAGAGTAAAATCTACAGTGTAAAGTCATTGTAACTTGTTGAATTCACAATGAGGAAAAATGAGTATTTGAAATTGATTCATCATAGCCACTCTGATACGATGCACTTTAACTTGGAGGCAAAAAAAAGATTCATATACACGATTCTCTTAGTAAAATTTTCTATTTCTTGCTAATAACACCTTTTAATTCAGAAAATGCATTAATTTTATTCAAATACATTTTTTTCTAAAATATAAATATTTAAATTAAAATTTTATAAATGCAGAGAATGTAGTTTCTGTTGACTCCCCACCCAGATATTAATCAGTCCAAAACTTAAGTGATGAAGAAATAATATTTGTAATTACGATCATTTTAGTTTGTCTATAAATATATATGATCTTTGCAACTTAATTATGAGTAATTAACTCATACTTCATGTAGTACTGAGCACCTTAGATTACATATTGTTGAATTAAACTATTGGCATTAATACATGTATTTTAATATGTTATTTACAATACACAAGTATAATTCTCTTGTATAACAACATTCCAGTGATTTTTGAAAATACATAATGAAAGAGTGCAGTATAATTTACAAATGCATCAAAGCTTTCCTCCAATATTCAGGCTGGGACTCACTCTTGAGCATTTTAAAACAGGAAACAAAACAAAACAAGAAGCCAATATCCTAAAGCTGTGCTTTCCACTGTGTTTAGTCTTGTTTTGTTTTAAAACACTAGCTTCCCAAGATGCTCCAGTAGAAAGGAGTTCTGGAGGTAAGCGCAAGGAATGGCACAGGGGACCCCCCCAGAAGAACCACAATGTGCATTAAAGCGAGGAGACCTGTAATCATGAAATCTGTTGAACATTTCTTAACTCAGTATTTCACAAACATTTTTGATTACCAAACCTCTTATTTTCCCCACCACAAAACACCTCTCAGTCAATGGCCTTTGGAACTAGCATTCCATGATACCTATTATGGGGCAACACTGATCTAAAATAAAACTCTGCAACTCAATAAACGCATACGTCTCAGTGAGCAAAATCACATTCCTTTAAAACAGTTTCACCTTTTAAAGCTCTTTGCATAGGTATTTGCTAAAATATGATTCTGAGAAAACACACAAATCTAACCCAGAACGTTTGTCTATGTAAACTACAGGGGAAAGAAAGATTACAAATGCTTACAGAAATTCTAGAACTAATTTTCAAGGTTTGAGGAAAGTGACTCCAAAATAATAGGTGTATTTTTAGTGAATTCATTTTGAAAGACAAAAACAAAAGCATTAAATCAGTAATACGCTATATGGTGTCTGAAAATATTCTTGTAGAAAAATATCAGGTCATTATATCATTTCCTTGGAATTCCGAAAGAGCATTGGATGCTATCAATACATCTGATTATAATGCTGGGTGTATGCATAAACGCCAGCATCGTTCAGAATTATATGAAGCTGCTCTATTACTGGTTCGAAAATGCATGCATACAAGCACAGGCAGAAATAAGAGTCAATAAATTGCTCAGCACTTCCACTGAAAACCACAAAACAGGGATAATTATTTAACCCCACATGAGTTGTTATATCTATATATATAGCAAATGACAATCTTTTAAAAAATATCCATAATTTGCTTCCTATAAATAAAGCTATCAGTCTTGGTTCTAAGATAGCAGACCTTGGTGTGAATGCAGCCCCAGAATTAATCATCTTCCACGCACAGCACTCTTGAGCAAAGCTTTGCAATTTAAGCAGTCTACTTCGGCTCAGATTCCACCAGCTTACAGCTCAGATCAGTATCTGATGCTTTATTTAATTCTCGCCCAGCATAGGCTAATGAGAACACTTCAGAATCTTCCTACATCGCTGAAAGATAATTCATTAAGAAAAGGTAAAGCTGCTTCATACTTAAATAAAAGGTGGGTTTCCATTTGAAGTACTTTCCTTTCCTTACCAGCTAAAGTCAACTCAATTAGAAGTAGGAAATAAGTCACAATAAAACAAAGGATCATTGTTCCTGGGGGGGGGGGAAAGAGGGGAAAACGCCCATTTCTCATCTCTTCATCCCTTGCTTACCTGGGTGAACCAGTTGCCTAGAACCTGGTATGATTAAGATCTGCACACGCTGTTCTAATTTCATGTCCTTGATTGTCATTATTTAAAAGTTATGCTGTGTATTTCCAATTTCCCTCACTTCTTTACCCTTTGACTGTTCTAAAAAGACAGTTTTATTCCGATGTTCCTTGCGGTGTTTTCTCAGGGTACCCCCTTGTAATTGATGAAATTGACAGAGCAGTCTGGGATAGTTACACGGGACCCTTGGGTTGTAAAGCTGACTGTGGCATGCTGGTGCACTGATGTCTCATGTTACCCTTTCTGGTGGCACTACAGCCTTCCTTTTCTCAAAGGCAAGTCGCCCCTCTGTTCAGGCCACCAAGCCCAGTCTTGTAATCTTAGCTGACAGGAAGGAATGAATGATGAAAACAATTGGCTTGGGGCAGGAATGAAGGTCCAGTTGCTGAAATTGAAAAAGAAGAGAGCATGAGAGATTTTTAAATTAATGCTTGATACAGAATAGCGATTTACACATCAAAAGGATCTGTGTACTTCCTGCTTTTAAGTGTTAACTGGGTGTTATGCGTTCAGGTTGTTACTCCTCAACGGTGGCATCATCAGAGCAGAACTGGGGACAGCAGATGAGATTGAGAACAACTCCCTCAGTTCTCCTGAATTAGGTCAGGGGATAAAAACATAAGTGTTATGTTTTTAAATCCTTGCCCCCCCCCCACCCCACGAGATAAAAAAATCTCTTTGAACTTACTCCTTACATCTCATATATCTCTTTTCTGAAATAGGTTCTGTGAAATTTATATATACCAATAGCATAAATACTGAGGTTGCCTTTCTTGACTGTCTAAACCATTTACTTTTGGTATCACAATAGTGATATTATTTATGTTGGGTTAGGGACAGTGTGAAGCAGTACAGAATTTCACATCTGATGACCAGGTTTGAGTCCTGGTTCTAACAGGTTTTAGATGTGTAATCTTGGACAAGTTACTTAACATTTTTTTCAGTCTTACCTAACTCACGGGGTAATTAGAGTATTAAATGAGATACTGTTTGTGAAAATTCCTTATAAATTCTAAAACGCAGAACCCGTGCTGCTAAAGCAGCTGTGTCCTCACTGTCCTACTCTGGACTGTAGTGAGCACGTACATCTCGTGTCTGTTAAGGTCTCTCCTCAAGTCTTCTCCTTGTTGTGTTCCTACAGAGCCAACACGTGGTCAGAGCATAAGAGTCAGGCTGAGTTTTTATCCCCTGACCTAATTCAGGAGAACTGAGGGAGTTGTTCTCAATCTCATCTGCTGTCCCCAGTTCTGCTCTGATGATGCCACCGTTGAGGAGTAACAACCTGAACGCATAATAATAGTATCTAGCGAAGTTAAGATTTTACGTGTCATGCACCAGGCCCTGTGCTAAATATTTTCCACACACTATCTTATTTCATTCTCACAAAATCCTTATGCGATAGCTATTGTTATTATCTCTATGTTTTATACGGGGGACTAAGATGTGGAGAAGTTATAAAGCTTTCTGAGATCATCGATCTTACAGTAAAGACAAAGTGTGGACTCAAATGCATGTCTAATGCCAGAGTCAAGGCTTAACCACAATATTTTGTTTCACTAACACAGAATGCAACTTTTGAGAGTCACCTAAGGATTACCTACTTTGGTCCCTGTATTTTATGGATGAGAAAGACTCAGATCCAAAGAAATAAAAGGACTTGCCCAAGACAATTGGTGCGGTAGTTAAAAGACTCAGAAAGAGAACTTGGGTCTCTTGACCTTCAATTTAATCCATTTCCTACAACTCACCTCTGCTCCCCTCCCCCACACCGGAAAGGCCTGGAACCTGCCTCTTGGGGTTGCTTAGCTACATCCTGGGGGAGCTGGATCTGAACTTGAGCTTATCAGCTTAATGTACTGGCAGCAAGAAGTCAGTTCTTCCTGGATCTTTCAAGTCAGGTCATAACTACAGGCAGAAAGCCTGAAGTTTAAAAGTAAGTGATTTTCCTCATGGGCAAAAATAGCCTTAAATTTTTCAGTCAAGGATAAAACAGGAGACTGCTCCTTGTCCTTTCCCACTTTGCTAGGGTGTAGTCACCTTCAGGAAAAAGTACATGGCTGGGTGATTGATAGAGCAGCCACTGAACTGCAAATATTCTCAGTAAAATGGATTTTCAAATCACTTATTTCCAAACTGGGGCTTCAGGCTAAACTTACTGATTGAAACACACAAATCAACAACAACAACAACAATAACAACAACAACATCCCATAAAATTCTGCAGATCCATTTCTTTTTTGAGGAAGATTAGCCCTGAGCTAACTGCTGCCAATCCTCCTCTTTTTGCTGAGGAAGACTGGCCCTGAGCTAACATCCATGCCCATCTTCCTCTACTTCCTATGTGGGATGCCTACCACAGCATGGCGTGCCAAGCGGTGCCATGTCCATACCCGGGATCCGAACTGGTGAACCCCAGGCTGCTGAAGCAGAACATGCACACTTAACCGCTGCACCACCCGGTCGGCCCCTGCAGATCCATTTTAAAGGTTACAAAAATGACTAGCTGGAAATTGTTTTCAGGAAGTGAGTTCAGATCAACTGTCAGCCACAGGACATGGATGTCGCCATGTCATCAGTCAACTCCTATTAGGTAACTTGAATGGTTTTCAGAGCACTGTCAATATAATCCCACAGGAGAAATGACTGAAATAACTGTGGAGAGATGGGGGTGGGGGGAGCAGGGATTGTGGAAGGCCTGTAGCGGAATTAAAATTACTGGATTTTTAAAACTGAGATCTATCTCTGCATTTTACATATTCCCCATCCCTGTTATCAAGGGGAAGTCAATAAATATTTGCCGATTAACCGGGTGACTAGGGAGGACCTATGTTATTACAAAATCAAGTTCCTCTTGAACGTCTACATTCTTCAGGTTGAATGAGATGCTATGTCTTCCTGAGAAATGCCCAGAACTATGCTTGTTAGAAGGTGGAAGAACATGCTGACAAATAGAAATGGCAAGCGATAGGATATATTGGAGTATATGAGGAAGCCATTTGGTATAAACCTAATTCGGCCTGACTTTGTTTTTTCCAAAAGGGCCTGACTGTGGCCATTGAGCATGCATTGTATATCTGCTTAGACATTTTGAGATAAAGGTGCAACTTCCCTCCGCCTCCCAACATTGGCATCTCCTTAAGGATTAAGCATCTTTCCTTAGGCTGGGAACTGATTGCAGCACTCATCTGTGACCACCCAGCTCAAGGCAACAGACCTGCCACCCTGCTGTGTTCATGAGACAGCAGACCTATCTGCTGTTTCCATCAATTGCTGTGCCGACAGAGCAGCCTCGTGACTATTGTAAAAGGGACATTTCAATCATATGTGAAACATCCTCTTTGAGGGTATATAACCACCCTGTATACCCCCACTTCTTTGGAGTGCTCTGTTCTTTTGTGGAAAGACTCTCCCGGGTTATAATCCTCACATTTTAGCTCAGAATAAACTCGCCCAAATTTTCATTTATAGATTGGTTATGGATTATCTTCATTGACAACGCGATTCTTACCCTTCTGTAGAACCGAAGTAACGCACTTTTTCATTACAGAAGGCAGTAACGATCACAGGAAATCATGAATTTAAACACATGGGCTATTTGCATTGACAGAAGATGTTACCTTAAGTGACAAATTTGCTAATTTTTTTTGACGTTAGCCCAAAGCTGCTGGGCCTTTCTCTGGCCTTCTCTCCACTTGGGCAGAGCTGACCAGGTTCTCTTTGTTTCCCCTGCTGTCCTTTCTACTCTGCCATCATCCGGCACCTCCCCTCTTCCTGCTGCCTATGTGCTCTGCTCCTGAGACCTCCCAGGTGGCCTGGAGGGAGAGTTTTACACCCCTGCCTCCCTGACACCTAGCACAACGCCAAGGTTGGATTAGATGCTTGACACTTTTAAAAAAATCAATGGTACATTGTGAAGCCAGTGGGACCCTATTTAAGAAGAATTTAATGCTGGCTTTGTAAAGAAGTATTTCCTTTGACTCAAATATTTATGTGAGACTCCAGTAGAAAATGAGACCAAAGTAAAGAATGGTGAAAGAATTGGATCTTCTCACTGTTTTTTAAGAATCAAATAAGATATGAACCTGCAAATACTTTAACAGTCAAATGCTAAATAAATATAAGGCAGCGTTATGTTTGCAAGCCATACAGGTGTGTCGCATAAGGTAATATATGAGATTACACCATCTGAAGAAAAGCGCACTTACGAACTCTCCATCTTTGCCTCCAAAATCCAAATACAGCATCCTGATTCCATCATCTGAAGACATTTTCAGCTTTTCATAAGGAGACTGTATGATTGTCTTGGGAAAGGCACCCTCCTGTGGCTCAGTGGTAAGAGAAAATCCATTCTCATAATGTATGGTCAAACGGCACTCCTGGTTTTTGTAGGTGCAAGCTGAAAGAGACAGACAGACAGACAGACAGACAGGATGAACAACAGAAGTCAATCCATTGTCCCAGGCACTTAACTTTCAAGTCTCCCCAGTCCCAGAAGCCAGGCACAAATCACCTTCTAAAGTGGAAAATTAGTAATTGTTTATGAAAATATTGTCCATTGACTTTGATATTGTAATTTAACTTGCCCCATGAAACTAAGGGGAATAAATGGAAAGAAGTTCCTTTTGCTGGGATTTACTGAATTTTATATGTGCTCCAGCCCTCATCTGACCATCTGACAACACATTATGTAGTTAGGGTACTTGTCTTCCAATGGCCTTGTGCCACTAAGCTTGGAAAAAAACTGACATTTGATTTAGAGTAAGCTACCTCTGGATCATCATCTCACACACACACACACACACACACACACACACACAATCAAGGCCATGTCTACCGCTTGGTAACATTACCAACGTTAACAAATATAACACACCTAAGAAGTCAGGAGGAAGTAGCTCAAAAATTATCTAATTTTTAATTTTAAAAAAGTCGAATAAAGCTCATTTTATAAATAGAAAGGTGTGCTTTTTAAATTTCCCTGATGATCTGATAATCTTGGGTCCTGGAAAGGCTGCTGTTGCAGAGCGACATCAGATGTGGCCCCTCCCATGAAGAATGCTGCTTCCTCCCTCTGCCCAGTGTGGCATCTAGGAATCTCCAGTGGTGTCCCCGTGGTGCCCTCTGATCCAAAGGTACAAATGAAAACCTCTTGATCAGGTCAGGGGCCAGCTTTTATCTACGGTTCCCAGTGCATTTAGGAAAAGAGACCAGAGCTTTAAGCTTATGAGCTGGACAGGGGACTGCTGCCAGAATCCAAGTTCCCATTTAGGAAGACTTGTGAACGTTTAAAACCCTGGATCAAAAAGTTCTGAAAAAGGTTATTCCGTATCAGATTGGATTTTTTGCCTCACAAAACACCACGTTTAACAGACTCTGGCAAGTAAATTGCCTCAGGCCTTCATATGCATCTGAAAACTCTTTAGGGAAACCAGGCCATTTTCTTTGCTGGGGACAGGTTCTGAGGAGAAGAGTAAGGGCACTACTGATTACTCTGTACCATCCTTAGCTCAGCTCAGCTCTATAAACCAAACTTAATTTCACCTTTCCACAAACTTCTGAAGCACGATCATAGCTTAATATTATAGGAGAAAAAAGCAAAGCTCAAAGAGATGCACATGTCACAACCCAGGTGGTTTAGATTTCAAAATTCACGTTCTTTCTACCATGTGCCATGTATCTTTCTCATACTCTGGTACTAAGGATATGGAGGGACGGAGGGAGGGACCTTGGCAAGAGTCTCTCAGAGTCAAACAGTGGGGTGGGGGAGGCCTTTAGAGTTGGGGGAAGAAACAGGGGTCTCTATCTGCTCATAGAATGAGGTTGCTTTTAATTGAAGCTCTGGTTAAAACATACACCCCTTCCTTGAGTCTTTCTGGGCAGAGCCCTTTGTTAAATCTTCAGTTCTCCTCTTAGAAGGGCCCTAGACTTCTACCCTTCCAGTCCAAGGATGACCAAGGACAGTGGCATAGACGTAGTTATGGCTTCCCATCTTAAATCCTTGTTTTTGACACACTTCACCTCTACTGCAGAATAGGTGGGCGAATGGGCTCTAAACATTTTTTTTCCTTCCTCCATATTTGAATTTTAAAGCTATGCCATCAGATATTGTGAATTAACCGATCGCAATTACTTTTAATTCTAGTTGACCTCAAATGGTATTCGTGGCCTTTAATATAATGGAATCGGTTATCTGAAGATGTTCTCAGTCTACACAGGATAAACCGAACACATTATCAAGTTAATTGAAGCTCTGATTAAAACATAAGCCCTTTCCCCAACTCTCTGGAGGCATCTTTTAATTTGTAACTGAGTTGCACCTTTGGTCATCTCCATAATTTCTTTTCTCCCACCACCCATCTAGCTTAGTTCATACAATTCTTTGTTACTCTCCTGTGGCTGGACTATCCAGAGCTTCATTATTTTCCTGTTGAAGTAGAATTCAGTTTATTGAGAGAGAAAGATTTTACAAAATTTGTGGAATGTAAACTAAACCAAATCCTTTTGGCCATCTCCATTCTATCCTAGAACACTCTTGAATTTGCTGTAAAGAGTCTGTTCTTCTCTGATATTACACATATAACTTCATTAAATTTAGGTTTTTGGGTGGCTTGGGCCTTTTCTAACTCAGGCTCGAAACTCCAGTTCTTGTTGTCGTACAGAATAGGCATCAAAAATAAAAGCTTCAGTGATACTCCAAAAAGTTTTTCAACAATTATGGAAAATACCTGGGGGCACTGATTAATTTCAGGATAATTTTAAAAAGACATTGGGAATCTTGGAGATACTGCAGCAGAATGCTACAAAACATCTAGTCTTTCATATTTGCCTGAGTAGGGGGAATGCGGAGAAACCCTCACTACACATTGATGTCTGTCCCATCTTTTAGAATATTCCTGGGGGCCTGAGGAAGTTGCAGCCCAGTGTAGTACTGCTTGCAGAGTGGTCCATGGACCAGCAGCATCAGCACCACCTGGTATCTTATTAGGTACAAATTCCCAGCCCCCTCTCCCAGAACTGCTAATCAGTATCTCTGAAGGTGGGGTCAGCAATCTGAGGCTTTTCGGAGTAAAACTAAAAAACAATAGCATTATAGACACGGTTAACTATATATTGTGCTGGCTGATGAAAACCACTGGAATCCACCTTAACAAACGTAAAAGATTTTACAACATGTAGTCTGTTAATTAATGTAGCTTAGATTCATATAACTTTTCCAGTCTCTTATTTTGCCTTTGCCCAATTAAAAAATTAAATTCTCTATATCTCTATATTTACATATGTATGTATTTATATCTATCACCTGTCTATCCTCTATCTGTCTATTTGTATGATTTGGAGAGTGGCATGAGAATTATTTATCACAGCAACCTGGACAGAATTGTTATTTTTTGACCACTGGTTTAACAGTGAGAAGTTCCGTCTCTGAAGACACTATAGTGAATAAAGAATGCACTTTAGAGGTAAGTTCAGCTCTGTCCTTTATTTGTTGTGTGATCTCAGGCAGGTTACTGAACCTTTCTTAGGAATTTGCTTCGTGATTTTTAAAGTCAGGTTGACAAAGGAATGGTGAGGATTAGATTAGAGGAGGCAATGTATTGTGACCCAGGACACGCACACACATTTGAATCAGAAGTTCTACAAAATAATATTTACACTGATATTTCTATTCCAATTAATTTCATTTTTAAAATGTTGCTCTTGCCTCAATTAATTTATTTCAGGACCCTGTAGGGGAGGAAGACATTTCCTCTACCTGCTCTGGGTTCTTCTGGCCAGAGAACAAATTAAATTCACATGAGACAGAATAACAGGAGAAAATTAAACAAAGCTTTATAACATGTATACATGGGAGAGGCTCAGGCCACCTGAGCAACTCGCCAAAATGGCCGAAGTCACCACCTTAAATATCATCTTCAGCTAAAGACAAAGGAGGATGTTGGGGGTGGGAGGAGTCAGTTACAGGAGATTACCAGACAAGTGCAGTAAACAAGGGTCAGGTTATTATGCAGATTTAAGTCCTCGCCTTCTGCATTGATAAGAGCTTCTAGAGATAGGGTCATCCCTCCTTCCTGGTACAGACAGGGAGACACATTTACAGATGGAGATTTCCTTTACAATGTAAATGTCTCTTAACAAAGGGTAAGTAAACTCTGCTTTTCAGAGTTTCTTTCCTGTCTGCAGTTTTTAAAACTAACAAGCCCAAAATAATCCTCATGCCAAAGAGACATATCTCGGGGTGGCCAATTCCAGTCCCCTAAAACCCAAAAAGAATTGTTTTCGCAGTATGAAAAACACTAAGAGACATTATATACAATGCCTGGCACTTCGCAAGTACTCAACAAGCAGTACAGGATGGAAGGGTTCTTCCTTCTACACACATATCCCATTTCTACCATTGACTAGTCTGCTCTCAGAGTGCTACATGAATGTGGATCACACTCTCTGTGCACTCCTTCCATCCTGCCACTGCCACTCCCTTCATACCAGGGACAGGGGTCCCTGCTGACTCTTCCCAAGGCTTTTCCTCTAGATGCCTTTGTTCCTGCTCTTTTTCACAGCCTGGTTCTCCTGTTTTCTGATCAACTCTGTGAGCTACCTAATCCATTTCCAATAATTTTATTCTGTGATAAATTTCTATTGTTTCCAACAAGAACTCTACTAGTTTGTGCCTCAAAGTTCACTCCTCTAGGAAGCCACCCCTGGGTTATTGGTAGGAAAATGACATCTGAGTATCCAAGTTACCAACTTTTCTTGACTGAAGATGGGGTAAGGCTTTTCACAATCAAAACCTTGGGTTCCATTTTAGTAAAAAGTGCTCTAATTTAGAGGAATTTAAATTTACCCCTGGAATTTTTTTTTTTTTTTAAAGAGCTTATTTAACACAGTGTTTAGTACATAGCTAGCACTCTTTTTTTTTTTTTAAAGATTGGCACCTGAGCTAACAACTGTTGCCAATCTTTTTTGTTTTCTTTCTGCTTTATCTCCCCAAATCCCCCTAGGTACGTAGTTGTAGGTCCTTCTAGTTGTGGCATGTGGGACGCCACCTCAATGTGGCCTGACGAGCAGTGCCATGTCTGCGCCCAGGATCCGAACCAGCGAAACCCTTGGCCACCGCAGCGGAGTGCACGAACCTAACCACTTGGCCATGGGGCTGGCCCCGTACCCCTGGAATTTTAAGTGCCCCACAAGGACAGTAATGGAAAAGACTTTGAGGCCAGGGTGGAGTTGAGGGTGCTTTCCTCCTGTAAGAGTGTGACATCGGTGGCTCATGGCCAGCAGTGCTCACCTGTGGTGATTTCAGAAATGAGTTCAGCTGAGTTGTGGCAACCCTGTACTATGCTCCGTGTCCAATGGGAGAGGTCTCTGCTGATCTCGGCCCTGAAGAGATGTGTTTCGATCCCCTGCCTGGTACCAGTTCGAGTTGCAAAGGACAGATCCACACCAGCCTGGGGCGATCCTTTCCCTGGACCTGAATGGACCAGCCTATTGAGAGAGAGAGAGGAAAAGAAAGAGACAGAGAGAGAGAGAGAGAGAAAGAGAGGTATCAATCATCAAAATGGAAACTACTTCATTCACCTGACACGTCACTTGGTTAAAGGCTCCAAAGTGGTGATTTGCTCTCATTTTTCTAATCGGGAACCAAAGGATCCACGATGCCCTGATGTTCACCATGGTTTCCTGCCATCTCCTCACCCAGTTCCTCTCTGATAGTAGAATGAGATTAAGACACTGCCCAAGAACTGAGCATCTGGTTGAATATGCAGGGGAGTTGAGTAATATGACTTTAACTATAGTTAGACAAATTCAGCTACACTCATTCAGCCAAAAAGAAAGAGAATTAAGTAAACAAAGGAGAGATCATTTTAAATAGTGTGGGAAAAGTCCCCCAACATTCCATTTGTGGCCATATATATGTCCCAGTGTGAACATGAGCTGGGAAAGGGAATCAATCATTTCCTAGGTTAGATGTAGTTCCCCTGTGTTTGTTGTAGTTTGGAGCATCTGGCTGCATGGAATGTGCTTCTGGGTTTGCATTTTTCATGCATTCAGCCTCCAAAGGCAAGCAAACAACCATGGGATGCAACTGAAGAAGAGCAATCTGTATGACTGTGTTAAAGCTTGAGAAGGAACTCGGGATGCTGGACTTCTTGACAAATGGAAGAGAACTGCACTTTATGGGAGATTTAAGGGATTTTCGAGAGTTATTTTACCACACAGGATTTTCACACTGACTTTAGGACTGACGCTCAGCATAAAATGTGACTCTCATAGTAAATATTTTCTGGAAGACCAGACTTAAACTAGGAGGCATCAAAGTCTCCGAGTGCTACTTACTGAGTAGGCTCCCACTTCTCACTTGCTCCTTTATACACTGGGATCTCTCCTGCTCTCTCCTACTCCTCAGTATCTCAATCTCCTTTTGGGAGAGACCATAACGTCAATAATTTGCAGGGTAGCATGAATATAATTTGGTTAATGTTACTTCTCTCCAGGGTCTTTGCATTTTCAGCCTTATCTTTTAACACAGAAAGAAACTCTACCATGTGCTACAGAAATTCCAGGTGTCTATTTACTTGGTGGATGGGAGAGTTATTTTCTTAGGCAAAGCGCTTATTAGCTCTAGATTAAAAGCCGTATAAAGGAAATCCAAAAGCTTCTTTTCTCTTGTAAGCTTAAATATTATAGAACAAAATGATCAGTGCAATAAAACATATTGTAGCCTGTTGAGTTTCTAGCAACAAGCTTGTTGTATAACTCTGAGGAGCGTTTTTTTTACTGACAAAGTTGGAGTTAGTGGTTTGCAATGCCAAGTTGGAGAAAAAGGTTCACTGAAAAACCTTTTGGTTGTAAAATTCTTTGAAGATAGACAAGTTCCCAGGAAATAACAAATGTTGGCAAGAATGTGGAGAAAAGGGAACCCTTGTGCACTGCTGGTGGGAATGTAAATTGGCACAGCCATTATGGAAAACAGCATGGAGGTTCCTCAAAAAATTAAAATTAGAACTATCATATGATCCAGCAATCCCACTTCTGGGAATACATCCAAAGGAAGCAAAATCAATATCTCCAAGAGATATCTGCATTCCCATCTTCATTGCAGCATCATTCACAAGAGCTAAGATATGGAAAACACCTAAGTATCTGTTGATGGATAAATGGATAAAGACAATGTGATATATATACACAATGGGATATTATTCAGCCTTTAAAATTAAGGAAATCCTGCCATTTGTGAGAACTTGGATGAACCTGGGGGGCACTATGCTAACTGAAATAAACCAGACAGAGAAAGACAAGTGCTGTATGGTATCATTTGTATGTGGAATCTAAAAGAAAAGTTGAACTCATAGAAACAGAGTAGAAGGATGGTAATCAGGGTATGGGGGGTGGGCAAAGTGGGGAGACATTGGTCAAAGGGCACAAACTTTTAGTTATAAGATGGATAAGTTCTGAGGATCTAACACAGAGCATGGTGATGGCAGTTAACAACACTGTTGTGTATACTTGAAATTTGCTAACAGAGTAGATCTTAAGTGTTCTCACCAAAAAAAACCAAAAAGGTAACCATGTGAAGTGAAAAATGTGTTAATTAACTTGATTGTGGTAAGCATTTCACATGTATATCAAATCATCATATTGTATGCTTTAAATATATATAATGTCATTTGGCAATTATGCCTCAAGAAAAGAAATAATAAAACGTAGAGAAGGTCCATGAATCTCATTGAGAGGAGAATCTAGGACAGCATGAAGGGAAGAGTCGGTTGACATGGGCACCCACAGGCAGGGCCGTAACACCTAGAGACGAGTCCCATTCGAGAGGAGGACATTTTGTAATGAGATGCGAACAAGAGTGACTGAGAAGCTGCTGGAGGTTTCAAAATCTACATGACAGTAAAAAAAACAGAAAGTATTTCTCAAAAGCCCAACATAGGTTTTAAAGGGTTTTAAGCTCAGGTAAAAATTCATCAAGAAAAGGTCTGTGTAAATAGCATGAATTTATATGGTGTTTTCTTAAGTGCTCAGAAGTGTTTTTAATTCTCAAAGTTTACCTTTTAGTTGCTTTAAGGAATATAACTTAGTGGTTAAGTTCTCTTGCTCCACTTCTGGAGCCTGGGGTTTAGGGGTTCAGATCCTGGGTGTGGACGTACACACCACTCATCAAGCCTTACTGTGGCAGCATCCCACATACAAAATAGAGGAAGACTGGCACAGATGTTAGCTCAGCAACACTCCTTCCTCAAGTAAAAAAAACAAGGAAGATCGGTAATGGATGTTAGCTCAGGGCCAATCTTCCTCACACACACACAAAATATACACATATATATCTAGCTCTTTCTTTTTAAAATCTTGAAGTCTCTATCAGTTTGGCACTTCTGGCAGGCTGCATGGTAAACTGAAATGAGATACAGTTTTGGGAGGCATAAAAACCTTCATTAGATCCCCATTCTGCCATCTGTTAAATGTTCTAAAAATTACTACCTCATAAGGTAGCATTGTGAAGATCAAATGAAATAATCTATGTGCTGTATGTAGTACAGAACCTAGCATATTGATTATATTCAATAAGTATTGTTTCCATCCCTTGCCCATACTCTCAGTTTTCTTATTTTGAAAATATAATTCCTGCCTCACATGATTAGGATTAAATATAATAAAATACATAATGCACTTAATCCAGTATTCAGTGCCTCATAGTAAGCATTCAATAAAAATTAGCTCCCTGATGCCTTCTCTGGCCTAATGTGTTCTCACTTTCTATCCCCTAAATTTCCATCCAGGGGATATCAACCCTGTCACAATTCAGGGCCAGTGTAAATGTGGCATAGAGGCACAACTGAAATGAGAAAAAGATATACCACTCTCACGGAAAATGTTTTTCTGTGAATTTCCTATCAATATTTGTTTTTCTCCAGAGAGACTATAAAATTGAAGCCGATAATAACTAGAAAACGCAATTCATTAGAAAATTCACATTTGGTAGAACTGGGTTTGAGGAATGAAATTACCAACAGAATATAACACGGTAAGAGAAAGCCCTGTATCTAGCTGACCAACATCACGCACCGGAAGTCCCTGACGGGGAAACTCAGTGTGTCATAGGAAGTAATGATGAAAAAAGAACCTTTGTAGGGAGGACTACTCATATTCTCTGTTATTTGTCTCATCACCAAATTCTCATTGATTGAAAAGAAAAGGGAAGAGGAAAAATTGACTTTTCAACTAAACAAGTGTGAATTATCTAATATTTATAGTAAAAAACAAGTTGATTTGCCATCTGACAAATAGCAGGCATGCTGAATTATGTGCTTTTTTGAATACACCAGGATTGGTTAATGAAACATACAGAACTGTATGAAAACTCTGAGATAAAGCAAATTGTCTTTTCCGTTACCATGTGTGCACACTAGTAACAAAAGGATGCTTTTTCCGGGTTAAAATCAAGTGAACTTTATCAGATATTCACATGATGCATACGAGTACACATCCGCAGACCTTGAAAATTATTTTATAAATACCCATGTAGGTATGGGGAAATGAATATATATCTTTTGAAAATTTCTAGATACGCAATTCAACTATGCAAAAGAAAAGCTTGGAGACGTATCCATTAAAATGCCAAGCAACTTTATGGGTGATTTCACTTCTTCTTATGTTTTTTTAAATTCTTAAAATTTTCTGTAAGCAACATATACGACACAGTTTAAAGATTAGCTTTAAAAGGCTATGAGGTGAAATGAACCCAAATCTTTCACTTTAATTCTTAGAGTCAGGATTCCCATTGCACTGAAAAATACATGCATTCTGACTCAGTGTGGTATACAGGGATTGTTCGTTGTTTGTTTCACGTTAGTGGCATTTCAGTGTTGGAAGACTAGGTGAGTTCATCTATGTCCTCTTGCATTTGTTTGTGTCTGGGTTATTCTAAATTGTCCATGTCTAGCTCCCAAGACCTAGCACCTGCAGGCTGTGCCTATGGAATAGCCTTTCTCAGAATGAAGTTAACTGATCCACATGGGATGAAACCTACACCTGTGGCCTCATTAATCCCTTACATGAACAAACTGGCCTCCAGCAAATGAGGCAGGAGAGATGCTGAGACCTGCCGGTTGAAACTACAGGATCCTTTTGGATTCAGGGGTGTTCTCAGGGGACTTAGAGGGGCTTTCTGCCCTGTCCGAGTCTCTTCTCCCCTCCTTCCACCTAACTACCAAAAATCACTCACTAAGTCATTTATTCATTCAATCAATCAATAAAGATTTTGCCATTCTCCAACTCATACATCCCATGATATTCATGGAGGACTGTTATAGACTGAGTTGTGTCCTCCTAAAATTTGCACGTTGAAGTCCTAACCCCCAATGTGACTGTACTTGGAAATAGGGCTTATAAGGAGGTGAGAAAGATTAAGCGAGATAATAAGGGTTGGGCCTTAACCAATAATTGGTGTCCTTATAAGATAAAGAAAAGATTTCAGAGAT